GGGGGGGGGGAATCGCTTCTGGAACTCAGAATTTGGTCAAATATTCAGAGCAATCGTGAATTTAATAATTTTCTACAAGATGATATAACAAAGGAAGGATTTTGCAAAGAGTGCAACTTTTGTCAGGTTCCCTTTGTAGTCTACATCAAAGTAATTAACAATCTAAAGCTAAATAAACGAGAGAAAATAGAAAGTGGAGAAAGAATAGTAAAATACTACATTTGACAGGAGGAGACACAGATAAAGTTTTGGCTATGAAGGTACCCAGGAAGTGCCCGCTCCTTCTTCTGTTAAAGACAGGTTGAGGAGAAGGTAAGGCGTTAGAAATGGAGAAGGTAGAGAGACGAGAAGTGTCACAAAGACAGAAGCTGCGCAGGGATTTGATGCAAAATTTCGCCCTAAAGTAGCCCCCCCCCACGTTTACATCACAATTTCATAAAATTACACCCTTCCAAGGTCAATGTCAAAATTCAAAATGTAAGCCAAAGGTCACCCAAACAGTATTTGTTTACAAATACAGTTCTTACCTAAAATAAAAAAAATCATTACAAAGATCATCTGGTTAATACTGTCTAGGGAAATAACAGCTGCAAACTTTGAGAATCATATGCAACACACACTGTGGGCAAAATGCAATCACTGACTACTGCAGCGATACATACAGTTAACATCAGGTTCTGAAGGGTTAATAACAACTCTGGATTCTGCTGCGATCGTTAAAGAGTAACAATTGCATACAATGATGACGATCAACGTTATTACCATCGTTATATTCGACCTTCAGTGTTTAAACTAAGAATCTCTTTCGTTTCTCCTGTTACCAATTCTGGAAACTGCTGCTTTCATTTCTTTCTACATCAAAATAAAGTAACTGTTTAGGTAACGTATAGAAATGTTTGCTTTCCTACGCCTCCGGGCATGGTCAACGCTTACTTTCCCAACTCTATTATAATCCAGAATCCATTTATGTGGGGGCACCCACAGGGCTGGTTTCGTTATTCCCAACGAGACGTGATTATGAAGATGGCTGATGGCGGCAGGAAGATAAACAGATTAACCTGTGCGCCAAACTACGGACCTACATAGCAGAATTTATTATGCCGTTTCGAAAGGGTCTATTTTAACAGTGAAGGATAAAGCTTTCTTACACTCCATAACCTTACAAACACTGACAACAACAGAGGAACAATTTGAGTCCAAATGATGTATCCGTCGTATTAAGGCACATAAATCACATGTCCTGGCTGTCGCTACAATTATAGATCAGTCCCTCCAATATTCAAGCTGCTGTCCATCTCTTGCAGTTCTGCTCCGCCGTATACTGTTAGGACAAATTTACTGTATTTTAACGAATTACCCTTGAGTAACGACAATTATTCTCATTAGGTTGTAGCATAAAATCATATTCAACCTCACTTTTATGGTATGTCCATCAAGCAAACTCCTTAGCATATGTCAGATGACAAACATTTAATCTTTCAGACAGCCATTCTCCATTATATATATTCGGCTTATTTAATTACATTTGGGATGTATTGGGAAATCAAAACATAAAGTACGTTAATGGTCGATTTTAAACTTTATAAAATTCCACAAAACATAGAGAACGCGCTGGTACCCATTAAAATACGCCAGTTCCCAGTGATAGATAGAAACGGTCTGAATTAATTTTGGGAGCGCTAAGAGTCGTCAATATAAATATATGAGACACAATCACACAGCCGAAGCAGAGTAACTTGGGCAACAGCCAACATAATACATACCTTACACAAACATCTATATCCTGGGTTTCTTGGTATTTCTACCACATATGCAACAATACAATACAAATACTACCGAAATAAACTTTTATCTCTACGATCCAGAACGATTTCAATTAAATAATTCATCACCTATGTTCTACAACCCAGTGCGGGTCATGGCCGCCTCTTTTTGGTGGAGGTTACTTAATCTATTTAGACATAGGTAGGACTCCTTGGACGAGTGATCAGCCCATCGCAAGGCCTCTACCTGTACACAGGACAGCACGACACAGAATTACGTGGACAAACATCCATGCCTTGAGTGGGATTCGAACCCATGGCCCCACTGTCCAAGTGAGCAAGGCCCACGCCTCAGACTTCGTGGTCACTGTGACCGGCCAATACAATAATTACTACAGTCAATTTTTTGCGTCCGGTACAAACGGCAAATTAGACAGCGGCATCTTTATTTCGACAGGATCAAAAACCAATCAAATACGCCATTTGAAAACAATAAAAATGCTAATAAGGTCAATGCGCAATCCACCAAGCGAACAACCTACACTTTCAGTGTAATCCAAAATGAAAAACGCTAGCCATTAAAGCAACCACATCATGTGCGTTCGTAGGGTTACACTGAAAAGAGTACCTCTAAGTCATTCAGTAACACAGATCATGACAGCACTAATATTCGGACTGTAATGGTGCCTTGTGACAAATTTTATGAGCGCCTATCATGGAAAAGAAGTCGGCACATAATACAAAGTAAAACCAATGTTTTACAGGTATATTTACATTGTCCCCATAAGAACAGGCCTCCACGTTTAACTAGCAGATGGCATGTCGCTTAGATTACATCGTTCAAAATATTTCTTAACTTATATACACTAATCAACCGAGGAAGACCACAGAAAAAGATTCAAATAACGTGTCATAGATAACAGAGGTAGATCGAAACCAGTACGTCAAATGACATCCACAATCGAACAGCTGGAATGCTGCAGAAGCAATAACAATAGCTTCGTCCAACCTCACCTGTCGCCACTACCACAGGAGCCGATGATTTGTTCTTCCTGTGGTTAGCAGGTAGGAAAGCTGCTGGTGGCGTAATCGGTGGTGCCACGTCCCACGTCGGGACAACATCAGGATGCGTTACCTGCTGTGCCGTCGACGATTCCGTCCCGGGAAGTTCAAGTCTCTGAAGCTGTTTCTCGCTACGTCGACGCCTTCTTGCAGATGGTGTAAAAGTCTTCACTGCCGCTAAAAATCCCACGCCACTCATTTTACCGGAGACCTTAACCTACCTACCGCAAGGTCCAGGCTCAACAAGTGTAGGCCTAATCGCCAACCTTGCTCAACCAGCAGTGGCTCTGTGGGAATGTATGGGATGAGACAAAAGCCTGCTCGCGACCGAATGATGCGAGTGGCTGGTCCAGACTGATGCAGCATCCACAGCAATGTGATCAGAAAGAGAGAGAAACTGCCGTGGAGGGGAGCAGACAGAGAAGGAAAATGCTGAAAGTGTATGGGAGATAACTCTGCATCGAGAGAGGATGCAGAGTGGTGGAATGGAAAGTGGTGAGGGGTGAAGGGAGAGTGCGGGGGCGTATGTGGTACGTGCCAGCTAGCAAAAGGAGACAGACAAAAATTTGAAGCCAAAAGGTCGGTGAGGGGGTGAGAGTGAATGGAGGGGATAGGGGAAGTCCCAGGGCCCTGACATTGCCACAAGCAGCAACATCGTCACTTGCGATCGTTAACGTGGATATTCTCCACCACCCCCTCTCTCTCTCGTGCTCCCCACTACTCGACAATTCTCCCTCTCCGACTATTGCCAACATGACGTCACACCGCCCACTATCCATGCGCCATGTTTCCTTCCCTTTTTTTTAC